GGGGGTTGTTGGTTCTGTTGTTGTTGTTGCCTTAAGGCCTCAGTTAGCAGTTCAACAGTTCTTTCTAGCCTTGCCATTCTGGCTTCGGATGATTCAGGTTCATTAGCGGTTCTTGCATTATCCATTTCACTTTCACTATATGCAACATGGTAATAATAAACATAAAAAGTTGCATACTTTAAACCTTTAAACATTTTAACACATATATTCATGTCATGTCCACGCACACTTTTCATGCTCATATAATGCCCTATTCACTTTTCTAAGACATCCTATAGCTCATTTGAACATGTGTGTGCGGTATAACTCGTGGTTTAATAACGCTCTGATACCACTCTATCACGACCCAAACCCGTCCCTATGGGTTTAACACCGTAACCGGCCAGTAATCCGAGATTATCGAAGGCCTACTTAACAGTAATATAGAGTACAAGGGCTGACGGAAGCCAAAACAGTAATTAAAAGATGTCCAATGAGCTGTGACAGTCTGTATGCAATATACAATCAGTACCAAAACAGTATGCACAATATATACAATCATTCAGGACAGGGACTTAATCCCTATTAGAACAGTACAGTACAACATTATTCAGTCTATAGAGAACATAAACAAAGAGGGGGAAAACTAAAACACCCCAAAAAGCCCTAACTTGAAGGACTTGGAACCTCGCAGTGAGGCACGTTGGTTGGCTTGACAAAAAGGGAGTTTAGCCCGACGCTCCTAGCAACGGTCCGGTGCCTGAACACCTACATATATATATGAGCAGTGAGTTAAAACCCAGTGAATAACATATGCGTAAGGAGGTTAAGAATGAATGTCCTTTCAGTATTGAAAACAATCATTTATCAGTATATCAGTCATTTAGTTTGTGGCTCATAATTCATGCCATACAGTAATTCAGAAACGATAATAGTCATATGTGGTACACTCAATAGCAAAACAGTACAGTAGGTCTTAACAGACCGAACAGTCAATGATGGCCATCATGTCAGTAAACAATAGTGGTTCTAAACATGGGAACCGACAGAGATCTCTGTAACAGTAGCAGTAACAGTTCAGTAACAATATATTGCTATGGATGCCACGTATATAGTTCACAAATAAAACAAACATTCATTCAGTAAACAGTGTCATTTCATAAAGCAGTACAGTCATTTGTTCAGAAAATAATCTCAATTGAACATATCTTTACAACATAGTTACTCACAGAGCACTGGGCTATAAGCAGCTAGAGCGTCCTCGGATGCCAACCCTACACAGTTACAGAACGAACACACACTAAGCTACACAGGAAATAATAACTTAATCCCTATCTTGACTCGGTGTGGTTCTACATTAGTATCCTCATTAAAATGCCTTAAACTAGGCCTAGGAATGTCTAGGATGGAATGAGGATGCAAAGATGCACTTTAAAACATTTTTCAGAATTTTTAGAAAACAGGGGTCTCGCTCGAGCGTGGCTTTCTACGCTCGAGCGGACATGCAGACAAAGGATCTCCGCTCGAGCGTGACTTACGTCGCTCAAGCGGACTGTAAGCTACAGTAAAAATACTGGATGCACAAAAATCATGCTCGACAGGCGCTCGATACACGCTCGAGCGTGAGACACAAGTCCTCGCTCGAGCATGAACTCTCTCGCTCGAGCGTGAACTCTCTCGCTCGAGCGGACTGTAAACACAACAAAAGTGCTGGATACACGCATTTCACGTTTGAGCGCCACTTTCCTCGCTCGAGCGGAATGCATGAACGCAAGGCTTATGCTCGAGCGTAGAACTCCTCGCTCGAGCGTGAGTCCAAAATCTGGAATTTCCAGATTTGAACCTGAAGTTCAAAACTCAATTCCAATGCGTCAAATTCGATCCTTTTGAGCTAATTTTCTAGAAAACACTTGTAAACTCATAGTATAACATGTTTTGAAGATCAATTTGAGGAATCAAAGCCCAAAGCTAGTTCAATTAAAACACAATTCCAACCCAAAATCCAATAACGTGAAGATTGATGCAAAACTCATACATGCATGAGTTCTAATGAATTCAAAGCTTCTAAAACATGCTCCAAAGAGCCAATTCTTACAAAAACATGGTGAATCCATGGATTAAGACCAAAAATATGAACATGCATGTAGCAATTTCCATGAAAACAACTAAAAACTCAACAATAGGACCATGCATGCATGAAATCTTACTCAATTCATCCATAAATCAAGAACCATGCAAGAACTAACTTGAATACATTAATGAGAGGTTGAATATCCTACCTTGGGTTCTCAATTACAAGTCTAGAAGCTCAATTTGTCAATTATCTTTCAAAATCCCTAAGCCTCCAAGCAAATCAAGATGAAACCAAGTTTTTCTCCTAGCTCTCTCTCTCTAGTCGGTTTGGTGCAAGCAAATGGCCGAAGAAATGTTGATTCTAAGTCTCAAAATATGATATGACTCACGAAGTGGCAAGGTTGTAAATAAAACCAACTCTTGTAATTTATCAATATTTAATCTAATTTAATCATACCAAATCACATTTCAATTAAATATACCGTAAAATCATATAAATCTTAATTAGCACAAAACATCAATCAATTTCAAATTCGGACGCCGATAAGGCCTTCAATTTGCAGTTTAAAGCATAAAACATAAACAGATAATTTAACAATCAACAGATAGAATTGCATTCAAACTAGCACAATCAATCAATCAGTTTAGTAATTCAGTCAGTCAGTCAATTAACATGCTTAATCATAGATTAGTACTAATCAGTAGTGTTATCAGTAAACAGTGCTGAGGATTGTTACAAAAATTCACAAAAAAAAAAAAGAAAAAAAGAAGAAGAAGACAAAAAAAAGAATAAACAGAAGGGCAATACGATCTCGCCATCCCAAACCCTTTTCCACCCCCTCCCTCCATACATCCACCGACGCAGCATCACCTTGCCGCCACAACCTACCTCCGTCCACCCTTATCCACAGTCTACCTCCACGAACTCAACCCTTCCCTCAACAGATTCAGATCCAAACCCATATGGTTTTGAATACTTTTTTCTTTTTCTTTTATTCTCCATCGTCTCAGATCATTCAACGTCTATAAGCTTAGATCGCAAGAACCCAACCCTTCACTACCTCTCCACTCACCAAATCCAAACCCATATTCAAAACCCAAAACAGAGACCCATTTGCACACTTCTGATAGCTCTTAGAATGGATAATATTTCGAAAAGAGTCCAACAAATAAGGTTATATTCACTATGTATTTGATGAGTGAAGTATTGGAATATAATTATAATTAACAAAAAAAAGGTTTGAGGGTTAAAGATTTGAAGTTTGAAAAAGATTTATGGAGTCAATAATGGTTAAAATCTATAAAAATGGGATGAAATCTATGAAAATGTGGTGGGAAAGAGTGAGGGTTTTGGTTTCAAAGTGAGATTTTTACACACAATGATGCTTTCTAAGATTTTGAAAAGAAAATAGTGTTTGTGCGCTCCTTCCTAGCGACCGCCAGCACAACCAACCTCCTCAATCTGAAAAGAAAGAAGAACAAGAAGGAAGATGAGTCGGTTTGCAATAGTGGTGCTATGGGGGTCAGAGAGGCGTCGAAAAGTAAGGGTCGCAGTGGTGTGAGTTGCTGGAGAGTGTCGGAGAAGTTTCCTCTCTCTCTCTCTTCTTCTTCTCTAATTTTTTTTTGTGATAAATTTTGCCCCGTTTTGGAGTGCTGTAGGAGCCATAACAGAGGATCTGTACTCAACCACCCATAACCTGGATTAACAACCCACGGTATTTAAAGGCATTAAAACATTGTCACGTGTCTCTTTCATGTTCTCAGGAGTTGTCCCATCAGTATAGGATATTGTATTGGTCGAGACCATGGGAGTAACTATTAGAAAATCGTAGGATATGGACATATGGTGTGCATGATAGGGTTGATTTGAGAAGTGGGTTGGTTTTTTGATATTTTAGCTATTTTAGTTTGGGTTAAAAAGTTTGGTTTTGGAAGAATTTTTTGATTTTTTGATTTTTTTGACTTTTTTTGTGAGAGAAGAGTGTAATGATTATGGATTGGATGTGATGTTTTGTTTTTTATGACTAAAATAACTTATTTTGTCTTTTGTGACTAAAATAATAAAAAAAAAAAAATTTAAAACCTAAGTTGCCAAACAGAGGCATAGTTAGATCCTTATTACATGGTTCTAACTGTCTAAGAAGTTGTGTTAAGATAAAATAAGAGCAGGATCTCAAACTGCTTCCTGAAATATAAATACCCCTTGGTGCTACTTTTGCTTAAAAAGCACCAAGGGTTGATCTAGTTAATCTAGTTAAAACATTGTCTCCCGAATTGACCCCAAATCACTTCTTCTATACAAAATTATGTAAATTGAATATAAACTCGCATAAGTTTATAAAAATTTACGTGATTATATAAATTTGTATTCAACTTATATATTTTTGTGAGATTATAAAAATTCGTAAAATTTATATAATTTTATATAAATATATATTATACACTGAAAAAAAATTTCACACTCAAATAAAATTAATTCTATTATATAGAAGTTACTTAGATTGTTAAAGGTAACCCCTCCCTATATTGTTTTTATTATCAATAATATTAGGAATTATGAAAAATATATCATGAAATGCATTATGAAGATTTTTCATCCCTTAATTAATGTGTGGTGATTTAGAGAAAAATTAGGGATCATGAAAAAAATTTTATGAAAATGATCATTAAAAATTCATGATCCTTGGATTACCTTGATCAGTGTGTGGTGCTTTATTCTAAGTGTAATTCAAGGGTCACAAAACTTTCATGATTATTTTCATAAAAATTTGTTCATGATATTTACCATTGCTGCTGAGTGATTTATTGCATGGATAATCCAAATATGATAGGAAAATCATATGATAATATCAAATATGATAGGAAAATCATGCAGCATGACCCTATCAGGATAACCATGGTCGTACTGAATTTTGACTCTAGGGAGGCATACATGCACCAAACATACATCATAAAGATAAGACTCACACTGTGAGTTGTTTGGACAGCGAGAATGTTGTAGAGAGAGAATCTTCAAAATTTTCCCAACAGAATCAGTTAGTCTCAGTGTTCAGGAGAGAGAGAGAGAGAGAGATGCGGAGCGTGACGTTGGGAATCTCAGCTACACCAACAACAACAGTAGCCTCCATAAACACCTGCTCTCTCAATTCTAATTCTAAAAGGCTGAAGCCACCCTTTCCTCGCTCCTCCTTTCTCTCTCATCTCCCAAATTCAGGTTCTCTCTCTCTCTCTCTCTCTATACATATGCATACATGTGTATATGTTTGTATGTATTCTTATTCACGTACGGTTTGCATGAACATTTTTAGGGATTTCTGTTGTGGACAAGATTCAACTTTCATTTCATGACTCCTGAAATTAATCAAAACTGTTGTTGTTGTTGTTGTTGTGATTTTTCAGATTTCACATCAATTTTTTTCCCAATTCTTGACCCTGATTTTTCAGTTGTTTTGGTAAAGTCAATTTTCTCTTTTTATTAATTGGTTGTCACCAAATCTCTCAATTGTTCAATCAGATATTAATTGCTAATACTTTATGATTTTTAAACTAAAAAAAAATTCCTGTTGTATAGCTGAGTATTCCCAGCAAAATTTTACTGGGAAAATACACAGTCTGCCTAAATTTTGCAAGTCTTGTAATTTAAGAGGCTGCTTGGCCCAACAGTAAGGCTTCCCATTAGCGCTCTTGGTCGGGCAAGTTCTAGTGGAGACAAGGTTATGGTGCTGTTTAGTGCAACTTACAGAGCTGCTTATAGCTTTTTATTAGTTATTTTGGGAGTATGTATCATTCGGTTAATTAGTGTAACTTGACTTGTGAAGCAAAAATTACTTAAATAAGTTGAGAAAAAGTTACTTATTTGGAAGTTTGGAGGGGTGCTTTCAACTTCTATTTTCTGATTATCAACTTTCAGATTGAGTAAAGTTGCACCGAACAGGCCCCACGTACTATTTACCCTCCCTAGATCCCACTTTAGGGGATTTTCATGCACTGAATCACCTTTTTTCTTTTTATAGAAAAAGCTCAGATAAGCTAGGACTCTGCTTTTTTACTGAACCTATGAACCTAATAGGAAAACTGTTGTTTGAATAATTTTTGGGTTTTTTACTATGCCAGGGAAGAATTTCACCATTGATTGTATTATATGGGTGTAGGGCTGCTTTGCAGAGCCGGTCAAGTAGTTGAACTATTCCCAACCGTGTCACCTGAAATAGTTGTTCGCGAGGCCAGGTTAGAAGATTGTTGGGAAGTTGCTGAGACTCATTGCAGCATCTTCTTCCCCAAATATTCATTCCCTTTTGGTTTGTTACTGAGGATTAACAGGCTGGTGTCGGTAATGCTGTCTGGATTCACTGTACCTAAAGGTTGTCGGAAAACTTGTCTCATTGCTGTTGTTGGCAGCTCACTGGATGATAATTTATACTTTGGAAATGAAGACTTTAAAATTGGAGGACTCAATGGTATATTTGGTCTGAATAAGACGTGTGTAGCTGGGATATTAACTGTGGATACTCTGGCTGATTTTCTCCCAAGAAAAGGACCACTTCGGCAAAGAAGGTTAGATCAGCTTTGGCTCCTTTGTTGGTGAAGCTTTTTCTGGTAATTATATGTTTTGTGGGGCTTGATCTTGCAAATACAATTTAAATTGTGTGTTTTCTGTTCTGCAAATACATAAGCATCATGCTTAATATTACCCTACCATCTTACATGGAAAGATTTTGACTTGGATTCTCATATGATACTATTTTATCATCTTACTTGCCCAAGGAAAACACATGCCATTCATCAGCTTGATTTATGCTGTGTTTGGTTGGGGGATTTGGAGAGAGATTTGGAAAGGGAAAGGAAAAAAGTGTGTGAAACTATGTGAAATGTAGGTATATTTTTTTCCACATTTCACCTACCTTTTCCATTTCCCTTCCCTTTCCCTTTCCAAATCCCTCGTCAAATCCCCCAACCAAACACAGCGTCAGTGTACAAGGTCTTTGCTGCACTATGCTCTTAATGGCTTGCTAATTTGATGTCCATTAATATTTCATCTAGTTGATGATTGGATATTACTTGGACAAATGGACTAATTAGTTCCACAATCGATATCGATGGGCTTGGAATTGTTTCATATCTCTTTTCCTCATGTTTCTGTCTTCCTGTTTTTGTATTCTTATCTATAGTTTGTATCCCCACCACCATCACTGCTATTGCACTGCTACTGTCTGTGAATTGTCACTACCAGCACTGGCTTGATGTTTTCAAGTTTCAACATCCCATCATCACCACTGCATCTAACTTTTCTCAGCATTTGGCCGTTTAAATGGTTTCTGTAAGTATGACTATCTCTACTGAGTTTGGTTCAGTTATGAAAAATATTGCCATTGACTTCCTCATGTGAAAATTTATTAGTAGGTTGCTTGTAACTAACCTTAAATTAATCATCCACTAACTTCATCTTTCCAATCAATTTTCCATTCATCTTTCTTGTTTTTTTGTCAGAGTTATTCCTTTCTCAGTGTTGTAGTGGATGTTGGTGCCTTCTGGGTTTTTGTGGCCCTCTAGTGTTGCATCACATTTTTCAACTCTTGTAGACTTTTCATACCTTCTCACACAATAAAATAGTGCAGTGTACAGAGGTGGCTCTACCATTAGGTCACTTAGTCCGTCACCAAAGGCCCACCAAGAAAATGTTAAGAAATTCTTATTGCTAAAAGGCCCCAATTTTTCAAAAACCCAGTAAAATAAGGCCTCATTTTAATATTTAGCCTAAGGTCTAAAAATTCTTTGGGCCACCACCCCAGTGCAATTTAGCTACACTTAGACTCCCAATGGTTTGAATTCATGATTCCTTTTTGATGATTATTTACAAGCTCAAAAGAAGATGAATTCTCAATTTGCATAATTTATAAGAAACTTACCTTATCAATCTTTGGGCCACCCTACTTGTTTGATTGACTTAATAAAAAAATAAGCATTAGAAAATTCAAGCAATATTTTATCAAAAAGTAGGTCCTGAAGTGTGGTTCAATCCCCTGGAACGTAGGTTTAGTTTCTAGGATATGAACTGATGATTGTGGTGCAGTTCAAAAAAAAAAGAAAAGAAAGGAGGGCGTTGAAGGAAATTAGTTCCATGTGGCTAAGCACATTTTTTTCACATTTTAAATAGTATGTTACAAAATATTTTCTGGGACCTGCTTCATTGAGGTTTCTTGTAGTCACATCCTAGTCCTGCAGTTCTCGTCTCGTGGAAAGTAGTTTATGAAATTTTTTCTTGATAACAATTGTAAAAAGAGTTTGTAAGTCGTATGAAATAAAAGCCCATTTTCCCGAATTGGCCCCTAAACCCATTTTTTGCTAGCTTTAATGTTCATTTTGTCTATATCTCAATGTGATAGAGTCCAGTGCACGTCTATCTGTGGTGAATAAAGTGGTGTTGATCTATATCTGGCACATCAAAACAATGCAAACTGTGATAGAGCCTGAGTACTCAAAAAGCGTTGTTGAATATACAAATGATTCCTTCCTTTTTGGCTCAGCTATGAACTGTTTCTGCTGTGCTTTGTGCAGCCCATTCCAAGAGTTTAGCTTGCAACTTGAAAATGGCTCAAAATGATCTTGCTTCCTGCACTGACTTGTTCAATAATTGCTTCTTTTTTTCTTTTTTCCTTTTTCTGTTGTGTCAACTCAATTGATTTATAAAGATAAAAACAAAAATAATTTCTATTTTATCTAATTTCAGTCTCATAACTGCTGAAGCATGCAATTGTTAAGCCTATAGCCTAGCCATACTCTAGGTTGTGCAAACAGTTGAGGATACTGGCTACTCTCAACTATTTTTGTGACTTTGGTTTCTATTTGCTGTTAATGCTTCTGTTGTAAGAAATGAAAGTATGAGTGTATATAGTCATCCAATTGTTGAGTCAGTTTCTCAGATTTCCTGAAAAGAAAGAAAAAAGAAAAAAAAAAAGTTTTTCTGTCACTAATGAGGCACGATTGTGAATATTATTGTCATTTTCAGGACTGGAATTGCATTCATATCAAATGTGGCAGTTAGGGAGAAATTTCGACGAAAGGGGATAGCTAAAAGGCTAATAGCCAAGGCAGAGGCTCAAGCCAGAAGCTGGGGCTGTCGTGCCATTGCATTGCATTGTGAGCTAAACAACCCAGGGGCCACAAAGTTGTACAAAGGCCTGGGTTTCAAATGTATCAAAGTCCCAGATGGTGCTAACTGGCCCCAACCAAGGACACCTCCAGATGTCCAGTTCAAATTCATGATGAAGCTTCTAAGCACCCCAACGACCACTGTTTAGATTTTTATGAGGGACATACAAGTGTAGTGTTTAACATGAAATCCATTGAAAGCTAAAAGTAGGATGTTTCAGATTGTTTGCTGTATATATAAGCTGGAGCAATTAGCTGCAGATCTTGGAGCAATGTATTACAGTAATACTACAAACACGAGTAAAGTACACAAAATGCAATCCTACTAGCGCTGCATTCATCGTGATAAAGTGTGAAACCTATCTAAGTTGCAAGTATTGCATTTTGAGCACTGTTTTGATATTTTTCTTTTTGAGTGTGCCTGTGTTGTTATTGATGTATTTTGGTATCGTTTTCAAAGCCAATTTTTCTGGTTCCGGGCCCTTGCACAATCCAGTGGTAGAAGTAACAATACGGATTCATCCATAATTAAATGAATTTGTTCATAGAATAAAGAATAGAACAAAAAAATCAAGAGCCTCGAGCCAATAAAGACTGAGAAGATTGACTCAAAGAACAACTTTCATTAAGAGCTCTGTTGTAGAATTCAGACCTAACCATTAAACAAGAAGTGGAACCCGTAAATGCAAAAAATTCTATTGAAAACGAATACTAATGATTCATTGGTTGGGATGGCGGAAGGAACCTGGAACAAATTTATCTATTCTGAGAAGTCATGAGCTAACCCTACAGGCTCAAATAGATACCACACCAAGCCCATAAATTGAAGGGGGAATTGTGAATCAGTGAAGCAATTAAGAAATAATTTCATTTACATATTGGGATAAGTTTTCTGTATGGTTTGGAGCAAGTCTTTCCTGTGTAATAAAATTGCACAAAAAAGTAATCCATATGTAGTGCAATTATTCTATAACTGTCCCAGTTATTTACAATTTTTCCTAAATTTAATTCAGTTTGGCTGGCAAGATTGGTATATATACTTGTGCTTTCCACTTTGGCTTTGTTCAATTGCACTAATTTGATGGTTCATATTTTCACAATTTGCACATCAAGGGGTATTTGTTTTAGACTAACTGGAAAAAAAGAGATTACGATAAATAAATTGTTAGTCATGAGATAACTAGTCATTGCACTATTTAGCTAAAAATTAGGTATATTTGACTATTAGTTCGACCTTCATTTTTCTAACCAACCTATGGACTAGTTATTGAACATGAAATCCAAACTCATGTCTCAATCTCATGAAACAAACGCCCCCCAAGTTCCATATTCATTGGATTATCAATAATTAGCATGGAAGAAAATAGTATTTCCACAACATGGCGGTTCAACTGTGGCATGTTCTTTTTAAGCTGGTTAGAAGGTCTACAAACTGCCTCCTGGTATTCACATGCAGAGTGTCTGTATGGGCTAGTGTTAGGATTGAGCTTTAAACAGTGCAAGTGTGGCTGAGCTTTAAATAATTAATTTCATGCGCTGGTTGAGTTTTTACCTCTGGTTGAGTGGAGCGGGGAAAAAGGAAAGAAAAATCGAGGCCCATGCACAGAGGCGGAAGTTGGCAACATTGAGTTTGTCAATGGGCTGACACAGTACAAAACAAAATTGCAATACATTATTCCTCATGACTATACCCCCAAACAGTTGGGGATGCCAATCGTGTGGCCATATAATTCAACATCACCGTTACCATCTGCAGCTCCAGTTACAGATTGGAAGCAAATTGCCCTACCAAATATAAAATCCCTCTTTTAAGATAAGAAAATGAACAGTGAAGCCAACAGCGTTGCCAGTCAAACAGTACTCCACCTCATGATGCTCGGACAAATTTGTCCAAAGCAGATGCATCCAAAGCAGGGAACCCCTTAACAGCAGCAAGCACTGCAAGCCCAAGTTTGACAGCATCATCATTGCTTGGTGCCTACAATGTTGTCATTTCAAGTCAGTTCTGGTACCTTTAACTATAAGCAAGTTGATGCAGCAGTTGAGAGAGTTTTTGTCTACCTCGATGTTAAGAGGGAGGACTGGATCATGTAGGGAGAGTCTCAGAAGGAACCACCCGCCATAGCCAGAAGCTCTGACCTGTTTTACAACCAGCAAATTCCAAAAACATGCAATGACATTATCAATTGGGGACTACATCTATTATTATGCAACTGTATATGAATAAATAAATGCAAACAAACAGACAAATTTGATTGCCCAAACTGCCACTTGGTTGTAGTCATCTTGGTCACATTGAAGCCAAGTGCTGCCTTGATTAAAAGTGAAACTATGATAAATATATAACACGGAGTATCCAGCAGCACTAACGTAGAAATCCACAAGAAAACAAATTCCTAGCAGCTAGACAATAACCCTTCGTCAAAAGATGGGTAGTATGTAAGAAGCATGTACACATGACACGCTAAAACAGAATTTTTCAAAAAATGTATGCTATGTGGGGGTTACATGGAAAAAAAAATAAAATTTTATATGTTTATTATATGACCTATATAAGGATAAATAATTATTATATGTTATATGTATGAATATTTAATTCAAAGGTACTAATTTTTAAAGTCCAAAAGGAGAATAGGTATAATTTTATGCTATTTTTCTTTTATCATTGAACTCCCTCAAGTTATTTTTATTCAAACTTGTTATATGATTCATGTGTGTCTAATACACGTGTTCCCCAAGTGTCCAAAGTTTGTCCGAGTATAAGATATTGTTAAAAATAGTGGGATATATTTGGACTTGTGCTCGACTGGGGTTGGGAAGTATCCAACAAGTATCGTGTTGTGTTGGTGTCCGACGCGGTATCCGACACGACACACCACCTTCTTAAAAGTGTCTATGCTTTTTAGGCTAGCAGGCTCCTCCTGAAGAAAGAGAGACAAGGATGTGCTCAAACAATGTTCAAGTGAAATGTGAATGGAGAAATCCAAATGGGATTCAATCCTCTACTGTTACCTTCTATATCATACATGCACTTCCCGAATCCTAATCACTAGCCTCTAACAGCCATTTGAGAATCACAACTAGGGGCATAACATATTTGATCAAAGCTGTAAATGTAGCTCTAGTCTTATGAGCAAGCTGATAGGAACCAGACCCTGCCGAACATGGGACACCAACACCCAGGACCTAAGGGGAAATGAAATGCTCAAAGAGAACTTGTTTCCAAGTCATATATATTCCGTTCGGATGCCATAATTTAAAGATAGTAATTTCACATGAACTTGCAAGAAAGTAAAGCCAGATTAATACTTCAGTTCACATCAAGAACATTCACATAAGTTTGTCTATAAAAATATCAACGCACAAGTAGACGATTTTCATGTTAACAATTGTTCAAGTCCACATAATTATTCTGCTTCTGAGCTGCTGCTCAATGGTCACAAGTCATTCCCCTCATATTTAGTGAAGCCAAAATTGAGAATAGAGCCAATGATGGCAGCTGAAGAGCAGTATTGGGTATGAAAAAATGTAAACATGCAGCAACATTTTAGCCCATAATCAAAATTCTCAGTATATTTGATGTCAATGTAAATCCAGGAGCAGGATTATGAGCACAAGTATCATGATTGATTCAGTGTGTCAACAAGAGTAAAAAACAAGGACTTCTAAAACTGTCGTATTATGATTGATTCAGTTTTCAACCAAAAACAGGAGGTTAAAAGATGAAAATAAAATAATTCCAAAGACCAAGACTAGAGTTTCAGTATACAGTTACAGAACTTACGCCTTCATAGTTAACAGGGGCTTTCTGAAGCTTTGGGTCTGTATCTGTAACGTTCTCCAAATGTTTCAGCACAGCCTCTCCATAATCCCGAAAGGACCTGAAAGCACCAATGTATTAATTAAGCCACTATTACCCAAAGGCATTTTCAGCCAATAATTACAAAATAGAGTAGCATACCCTCCTTTAAGATCTGGATGGCTCTGATCAATCTTTAGTCTAAATTCAACAGCAACAGCAGGTTCCTCTAGACCGTCCACCAAATCAATCAAAACTTTGCTGCCACCACCTACACCCGAAGCTCTGGCAGATGCAAGTTTATTCAAGAGCTTCACCTGCAAGTAGTGCCAAATGGAAGAGGGGAAGAAGTAAGAGGAAAAAGAAAATATTGCACAAACAGAATGTCAACTTTGCACAATGGATAAATTTACTGTGTTGGGGGGAAAAAACCGTATGTTGCATAGTGAACTGCAAGTGTAGAATGTTAAATAAATTTCATAACCACTGTTGCAATTCAAGCCTACCATGAGATATGCACCATCATCAAGCCAACGATTTTCCTTCAGAGCTCCATGGCCACTGGTTTCAATAGCCAAGTGAGACTCCTCCCCAACTGAGTTCTGTAAACAATATTTCCTTTAGATATAAAATCACGTGCTGAGTTACATACTAAACAAAGCATACAATGAAAGAAGCATATGTAGTTGATGCTATCATTAACTGTATAATTTCCTTTCTGGTTTTCCTTTTATCCTCTCACATCAGTGCAGATAAAAACTACCACTGACGTGCTAAAAGGGTCCCAGGTGAAAACTGGACAACAAGGATCCGTCTAAAAAGAAAGCAGGCCCCTCAATTAAGTAGGAACCGCTTTCATCTCTAGATATCATAACATGAGAGGTGTGGGCTTGCTGTTTAAGAAAGGATCGTTGAAGGCCTAGGGCTAATAGTACTTTTTGCATTTATGTTGAAAAGCCAAAGGTCTAAGAAATAACTCAGTACATGGTTAAATAATGCACAGCCACACTTTCGACTCTGCAACTCAACTAATCCCGGTGCAATACCATCTTTAACGAATCAATCGTATGAGCTCATATCACAATCAGATGCTTTACTTTTAGTTCCTAGTTTTTTTATGATGTATTTTATTTCCTTACTGAAGACAGTTTCTCCTCTGGTTGTACTCTCTCTTTTATGGAAGATAAAAGATTTCAATCTATGAAGCAGAAAGTTCAGTTGGACACATCACTTGTTGGTTCTGTGAAAAGTTGCAAGTCATGTACACAGGAATAAGGTTCTCATGATGCCTCTGGGAGTTGTTAGCTTCAAGACATTCTCAACCATAGTTTCTCTTCGACTTGTAAATGTGGAATGCAAAGCTCCATGAACTTCATAAATTGTTTCACAATGAACATTAAATATTTCCAAAGAGTAGCAAGTAGTAGCAGTAATGAGTACCAGACGAATTGCTTCATCAATGACATTTTTGTAGCCTCTTTTGAACCTGTGGTGCTTTCCTCCTGTGAGAAATTATATTGAGTTATGAGCACATTAATCATAAGAAAGGAATCAAGCAATCTCATTATTCTTACCAAGTTTCTTTTCAATAAATGTTGTTAATCCATCTGAAGTAACACTGTCTGTGACAATTGTTGTTCCTGGATGCTAATAGAACAAAACGCAAAGTGAATATAAAAGAATGAAAAGAATTATTTGGCTTACTCATGAATGAGGTAGAGGTCATGTATATATAATAAATTCATGATACAATTTAGGAAACAATATAAATAAGGAAACAATACTAAATCAGTGATTGATACAATCACAGATTATATGCATAATACTAAAAATAAAAAGATTCTATGTACTCTAATTTCTTATTCAACACTCCCCTCAAACTAATGTGAAGATATTCAACAATCGTAGCTTGCCAATGGTTGATTGGAAGAAGCCGAAAAAAACTCAACGGCTAATCCAAATAAATGCTACCAAACAAATCTGGTAGTCCACTAAATAAAAAAGGCCAAAAAGTATTTAATACATCAGCACTACACCTTAGAAAAGGCCAAAAAGTGTTTAATACATCAGCACCACGCCCTAGAAAGAGGAAAAAACAGGGACTGAACTATCTTAGAAGAGCTGCCAAAGCATCTAAACCAAACCAAACCAAACCTTAAGTCCCATCAAATGGGGTCGGCTACATGAATCCTTCTTCTCCACTCGGCTCTATCAAAAGCCATTTCGTTAGTCAAATTAAGTAGATCCATATCTCTATTTACAATGCTGGCCAACGTTAATCTAGGCCTACCCGGTCCCCTAACACTTCCATCTACTCTCACTGCATCGCATCTCTTCACTACTGCCTCTATTAGTCTCCGTTGAATATAACCAAGCCATCTCAATCGATTCTCTCTTAACTTATCTTCTATCCGTGCTACTCCTACCCATTCCCGAATACACTCATTCCTAATTTTGTCTTGTTTAGTTTTGCCACACGTCCACCTTAGCATCTTCATCTCAGCAACACTCATCTTATTGACATGTTGTTTCTTGATTGCCTAGCACTCCGTCCCATACAATATCGCTGGTCTAATAGCCGTTCTATAAAACTTACCTTTTAGTCTAGTGTGTATTCGTTTATTGCACAATGTCCCAGACGCACTTCTCCACTTAAGTCATCCCGCCTTAATCCTATGGGCCACATCCGCATCAATTTCCCCCAACGTTGTGATAATCGACCCTAAATAACGAAAATGTTCCCTCTTAGGCAGTTCTTGGTTCTTAATGTTCAGCAGCCAACGAGACCCTGGTTGACATCAAAGACCGGAGCTAATGCTGGGAGATAGTTTATGGTCGTGCCGGACCGTTGTAGAAACTGGTCGGAACTAATGTCGGAATAATTTAAGGTCATGTTGGACCGTTATAGGAACTAACCGAAATCAATATTAGAACAGTTTAAGAGGTCATGTCGGACTGTTGTACAGACTAACCAGAATCAATGTCAAGATAGTTTAAAAGGGTCATGTCGGACTGATGTAGAGAACTGGATATTGAACCAACAAGCGTGGCACGCACACAACTTACGACATGATGCTGAACAATGGTGGCAACAGAAGATGGCTGAGTGCGCCAATGGGAGGCTTATTAAAAAGTGCACCAGGGGGCGACTTTAGTGGTGTGCTAGAGGGGGGCGGCTTTAATTGTGCGCCAAAGGGGGCGGCTTAGGTGGTGAGCCAAGGGAGCAACTTGGGTTGTGTGCCAGAGCGGGTGGCTTAGGTGGTTCACATCGTATATCACCATGCTCACTGTGATATAGATATAATAACCCCCCCATTCAAACTCAAATAGGTTTGAAGACAGAAACCTATTTGAGGTTGAAATAAAGGGAAAGACAAAATGGAATAAAAACACACAAACAAAATGGATTGCGAGTTAAAAAAAAATATGATAGATATTTGGGATATGAATAAACTAGTGAATAGAAGAAGAGATCACCACAAAGTGATACTGAAAGAAAATATAGCAGTGGAATGGGTTAAGGTCCGGCCGGCTGCCAAGGCAAGATTGCTGCCGGTCGATGAAGCAGACCACCAAGAGCTTAACCTATAATTCTGATACCAAAAAGAATGAAAAAAATTAGTTGGCTTACCCATAAATGAGGTAGAGGTCATGTCTATATAATAGATTCATGATACAATTTAGGAAACGATATAAATAAGGAAACAATACTAAATCAGCGATTGACACAATCACAGATTATATACATAATACTAAAATAAAAAGATTTTATGTATTCTAATTTCTATATTCAACAAATACAACTCACAACAATACTTCCCCCCCCCCCCCCCCCCCCTCATTTGGGAAGATTCAACAGGACCCAAAGTTCAGGATGTAAACAACTACAGTTTTATAGGGACAGCTAACTAAGGAAACTTACTTCCTCAAGAACAATGGCTGACATTAATGCAATCAGACGATTCCGATTGAGCTCACGGCCGCTGGAATCCACGGCAGCAGATCTGGGATAAAGACATAGCCAGGAAAATACATGACATGCATACTAGATTAACACATGGATTGTAAAAATCGTTACCTGTCAACATCCGTATCAAAGATAATTCCCAAATCAGCCTTGTTATCAAAAACTGACTGGGTGATAGCTTTCATTGCTGCCTTGTCCTCCGGGTTAGGAATATGATTGGGGAATAAACCTGACATCAAAATTGATTTATCCTCATGACATGCAAATATAACACTCTCCCTATATTTTCAGCATTAATATTACCATCCGGCTCCAAGAACTGACTGCCGGTAGTAATTGCCCCCAGAGGCTCAAGCACCTTTGCCTGATATCCAATAAAAAATAATTCTTATTGTTAATTTAAGGAATAAGTGGAAAAGGCATCAAGTTTATCTAGCAGAAGACAATTGTTTAAACAACATAAATTCATGATTTTTCCAAGTAGAAGATAATTAATTCAACTAGAAGGTAAGTGAATCTAAGCATAAACTTGAGGGATTGCAAATATGAATGTCAGAAATTTTTCACAAGATGGGAACCATTCATTATAGTTTTCTGCTGCAGATACCACAGGTGATGCAGCCTATAATATTTATTAGCCAAGATTTTAAATGAACTCATTGCAAGTAAAATAACATTGAAATGCAGTTATCCACTACTTTTCCCAGCACTAGATTAAAAGAACAATTTGAGGATCTCAGTAAATGACTTCATCAAAGTCATCCTATCATATCTCATAACACTGCCACCTAATGTGTCAAAATGTGACAAAAAAGACGATTTGTGTTTTAAATTTTACAAGACATAAAAGTTACAGCATTGATCTGCCTCTACTATGTTCAAATTTATTTTTAGGTGTCAGAAAAGAACATCTACCATTACTCTTTTCCCTTTTTTATCCCTCTTTTTTTTTTCTTTTTGACCTCTTCTCACTTGCTTCTAAAGGAAGGACTGTTGCATTGAAACACTTCGGTAACATTTGGTCCACATAAAAGGGGACGGTTTCAGAAAAGGGGAATGAGGTACAAGGAAAAAGTGCATGAGGTGAATGGCCTTCACGTATAACATTCCAGAATCTAACAGAAGACATAGATTTAATTGAAGACATAAAATGAAATGGTAAAATAAAACCTGAGCAGCCAAACATTAAAAAAATAATAATAATAATAATAATTAAAAATAATTAGGCTTCTCAAAATAAAAGCAGCCTTTATATGTAGTAAAGAATAAAGTACCCTTCTGCTTGCAACAGTGGAGAGAATTCGACTTGGGATTTATATAATTGAAACTTACAGCGAAAAATCCTCCAGCTCCATTCCCCGCATCAACAACTATATGAAACCCCTCCAGTGGCTTCTCTGAGATTGAGAAGGGATAATGATGGTGAGTGCACGGTTCCATAGCAGTTAAAGGGAACAACCAAATGTAACAAACAAATAAGTACTGAGAGGCAAGGGGGAAGAAAAGTGATGATTAGTGCAACAACTTAATACATTAGACCTACTTATTGGACAAGAAGTTCCAATGGAACTGCACTTCACATTGTAAAAGAAAGATTCTCAAAATTCCCTTCAGCAAATTTTCTTAACATTTAAAACTACAAAACCATTTGGGGAATACTACCTATATTTCCTGCAGCTTTGCGAACTGCTGCTACAAGATCAGATGTATAAACACCCATATAATCAACTCTCTTTACAGATGAAGAAGCTTTTCTTTCTGCATCTTTCAAACTTTCGATTGTAAAGTTATTGTATATATTTGCAGCCCGCTCCAAGATGTCCTTAATATCTGCTTTTCCAAGCCCTCCAGCATTTGTGAAGAATTTCAAACCATTCCTGTTATAAGGAAGATGACTTGCTGGTTTGCAGACATATGTTAGAAATTTTGTCAACTGATATGATTTGCATGTGAAAACATTCAGCATGCTTTGAATTACAGGTGCAGAACTAAGGTACACTGAAAGTGAGAAAGAAATCTAAACCCAACCACTTAAAAAATAGATTCTGCACTTAATAGTTTGACCAATAGTCTCACCAGATATCCAAGACCAGGTCTTTTTGAAAGGTTTATACTAGTTAACTGACTTCATAAGATCTATTGAAGGAATTTGGTTGTGTTTACCTGTTATCATAATCGATCCATCAACTGGACATAAGAAGTCATGATCTTCAGTGATTGTGCTATTAAACATAGCTGGTGTGGACGCCAATCTACAACAAGCAGAAAACAACGCATGGTTAAGGCAAACATATACTTGGTCACAAGGAAAGCAACACATTCCCAAAGTTCATAAGCATCAAGCACAAAGTAAATGACCAAAAAATAAATAATAAACTCAGAAAAATGATACTGTTTCTCAAATCACTTGAACCAAAGTAATAAGACATTGACCAATTAATGAAGCAACTAATTATTGAACCACTGTAGCATCATAAACACAATATATTGAACTCAATAAATTCAATAATGCTGAAGAAGTGAAACGATATCATATTTTTATGTGTCATGTGACTTTAAATGTATAAATTAGAGATTAATAGACTTTAAAAAAAGAGTTAATTACATTGTACCGCGTGGTTAAGCCCAAAATGGCAAAATCCCATAACTCCTGTGGTTCAAAAATGTACAATTAAACCCCCTAACCTTTGGATTACATGTGAAATATAAAAAAAAAAAACCTAACGGGGTTAACATTTTCTACAAAATTTCTAAAGTACTCTTTCTCTAATTTATTCTGTTCTCTCTCTCCACCACCCATTATCTTCCGAAACCACCACCACCACCACCACCACCATGGTGGTGGTGCTGTAGCAGCAGTGGTGACGGTGGTTATGGTGGCAAGGTGATGGAAATGGTGGGACAAGCAAGATGAAGAAAATGGGAGAAAAAGTTTAAGAAAAAAACAGAAGTAATGTAATATTGCCCCCCAAGACTCATTTCATCACAGTAAAAATGCACCTAATCAACATGTGATGTGAGTAACATGCACCGTTATCTTTAATGGACTCACTTTTGCACTTCAATCAAAACCAAAGGGGATTGAATGTACATTTTTCAACCACAAGGAGTTTAGTGTTTTGGGCCTAACCACAAGTGTAGTTAACCCCAAAAATATAGTAACAATAGACTACATTTCTATGAGTATGCTTGACTCCAATGTCCCAAGCATGACAAGAGGCTTACACACAACAAAGTAAAATGGGTTACTAGGCATTAAGCACTAGTGCAATTCCCATCAACTAAATTTTAATATTTACAAAAAATATTAGGTTGGATATTATGGACTTATCACCGTGGAGTCCAGATCACACAGGTCAATTTGGCTCTAATGTCTCAACAGGTTTAAACCCATGTAAAATCTCTTGTCATAAATAAAAAATAACAAATCCTACTATATGGTAGTGTGCAGCTTTCACACCACTCAATTCAGTGGTGGCTCCAGAAATTTTGTTCAGAGTGGAAATTCAATAACTTAAATTGGAATTTATATAAAAGAAATCACATTTATCTATATCTATATCATCCACTTCCAGTAAATCTCTTAATTTAAACTTCTCAAATCACCCAAAAAAAAAAAATTACAAAATATTGATACTATTGTTTTAATCTAAAATAAAATAAAATAAAATAAATATTTGGAGTTCTACAATTGTTCTCGAGGAGTCATGTGACTCATAAGCTATATTTACCAAGACACCTATTTTTCAGGTATTAACTTCTTTTCTTTCTTTTCTTTTCTTTTTTCTTTTTTTGATAAAAAAAAAATTAAAATAACTCAGAAAATGGAGTCCATGGATTAGATGCATTTTGGATGTGACCCACACTACCACAACTTTATCTATACCATACATTTTACTTTCTAAGCACTCTTTCTGGACACATAGTGTTTCTGATGAAGGTACTACATTTAAAATTAAAAGAGATTGTGAATGAGTTGTGGGGTCGGTGTGCAAAGTTGAAGTGAGTGAAATGGGTGTTCAAGATTTATGGGATGGGAATTCAAAATATGTGAACTTGGGTGTTCAAATTCTAAGGAGTGGGCCAATTAAAAAATATAAAACCATTATATATATACAAACCTTACTCAATTACCATGACTTGAACAGAAACTCAACAACAAAAGTCTATTAAATTAATTGGACTAACTTAACATGTTTTGATTTTAAAAATAAATATTAAGAAAAATACACACCCATATTGAATGACATCCAGGCCAGCCCCAGCTATTCCTCGAGAAACTGCATCCTGAAATTTGCATAACATAACTCTCAGCAATTATTGAAAACATGAGTAAATTGTGAATATTCCCGAATACATGTTATAAGTTTCTTTTGAAACAATGACTCTGTACCACAAATCCTTCCCTTTTTCCCTTTTTCTTTTTAACATCATGGGAAGCTCAGTTACAGCATTTATTTTGGAGAAGAAAAAGGAACAGGCCCCGTTTGGGATGCTACATTTTTAGCCAATTAGCCAAAAAGTTACTAAATTAGCCAATTAGCCAATTAGTTATACCAAAAAGTCAACAATTACGGCTTCTCTCTACTTTTTGCACAGCTTTTCGTAATTAGTCAAAAAGTCATCCCAAACATACAAGTTTTTTTTACCTACCTTTTTAGCCAATTAGCCAAAAAGTTACTAAATTAGCATGTTCCCAAACGAGGCCTGAATGTGAACTTTAGATTTTAAGCATCAAAGATACTAGTCCAAATGGTTCATGCAGATTTGGTAAATAATATGCCACTTTAATATATAGCTCGACAAGTATTTGGGTCATGAGTTTAGTCACATTTAAACTTTAAATATATATATATACTTGATGAAGTTCACCTATTTCTTTAAGGTATGCAATTGCAGGTATTATTATTTTCATTATTGACATGCATCATGCATGAGGTCTGTGGATGACCCACATCACTCAAACAAGACACTCTATAATTTTTATTAGATATATGAGGAAATACTAATATGATACATTAGAAAATTCATCATCATCTACGACCTTGCCACTAATCCCTTCCTAAACTGCTTAACCGACTGTCTAGAGTCATTGCGAATGAAAGTTCTGAGATAAAGTAACATCAATTAACCAAATAGGAGATCATCACGCAACCTGATGAACGGTTTGCATAAGGATTCAAGCATTAATATTGAATTCATTAACCTCATGGAAACATTTGTTTTCCAGAGGTTGTTTCAGGCATAAATAGCTTAATCCAAGTCATTTTATACTCAATATTGGCAGCACATCTGACAACAAGCTTTCAAAAATTGGCAATAGTAGTTTTTGATAGCCTAATTTAAACACTTGAAACTGAATGTATTAAGTGAAAATTAATTAAGCCTATTTGATAATTACAATTAATATCACTTAAAAATTTAAGTGGCTCTTCAAATGTAGGCTAAAAGTCTGAAATTTTTTAAGTGATTGAAAACTTACTTAATGCTAAGTAAATTTATAAATACTTATACACAAGCATTGACTTAGACCGTTAACCTCACCACTACTTCCATGACCACTATCACTAATGCTACTCCTACCACCGTCATTGCCACCACCACGACCACCATCACGCCACTACTACAACTACTACTACTACCACCACCACCACTACCATTACTGCCACCACGTCACCGCCACCGCCGCCACCTTCATCACTATTGACATCGTTGGCATAAGCACCACCATCATTTTACTACAACCACCACAATCTCCACTACTATTACCACCACCTCTCCACTACCATTAAAACACCTACTACAACCCTCACCTCCACAACCATTGCCATCATTGCCATAACCACCACCATCATTCTACCACCACAACCACCACCATTTAAGAAGCATGGACATAGATGCAGATGTGGACAAGGACAAGAGACACGGTGATTTCAAAAAAATGGAGACACGAACACAGCAATAAAATAATTTTTTTCATATATTTTTATTTGCTATGTAGACTAATATTACTTGTATCCACAAACAATCAAAACTAACAAAATCTAATACTAATTCGATATTTAAAAATAAATAAATAAATCATCACTTTCAAATTAACACTTATCATTTATATATTTTTTATGCATAATCTATTAAGTATTTAAATTTAAGAAAACAATAATAAATGCTCCTTTGGACAGACGGAAATCCTATTCCTAGGGCATTGGATAGGCATCAGAGCCATCAAGGAGTGGCAAGCACCTACCAACTACGTTACACGGACTCGGGTGTAGGTATCGGGTGCGGGTGCATATCTGGGGGTCGGACACTTCAAAACTAAAAATTGAGGATATGTGGATATGGATCCAAATGTAGATACAGGTACGAGGATACGTTAAATAGTTATTTTTAAAATATATTTACTATATAAAGATGAGTTAAATAGCTATTTTTTAAATATATTTATTATATGAACATGAGTTATTAAAAGTTGACCCAACAATTTTTTTATAAATAGGAACAGCAACAGCAGCTTTGACATGTTTGTCTCACACGCACAGCAACAACACGATAGGTCTGTCTCCTCTTCGTTTCTCTCTCACACGCACAGCAACACGATGGGTCTGTCTCTTCTCTTCTCTTCTCTTCTCTTCTCTCACACACGCACAGTATGATCGAGAGAGATATCGAGGGAGAGAAGGACATCGTGATAGAGAGAGAAAAGAAGATCGAGACAGAGAAGAAGATCGAAAGACACAGGTTAAGATCTCGAACCATGCACCAATGTAAGTATCTCAACCTTCTTCTTCCTTTTTGATTAGCCGTGTCTAAGAGAGAAGACGCAAATCAAACACAGATCCCACACCCGCACCCGTGTCGTGCTGTGTCGACACGGGTACTTCGCTCCAAAGTGCTGAGTCTGCCTAACATAGCCTACCAAGGTGAGAAGACGGTTGCCTATTGGGCTATATAAACTTATGTTTCTCCGCCCATGTGATATTCACAGCGTGCTTTTGATGTATGTTAGATTTTGAATGTTTAGAGCAGTGGGCTTTTAACCTAATGGTCACAGGTTCAAGTCCTGCTATACCCAAACCTACCACTATGAGTAAGGATGCGTTCAAAGATCACTCTTTGGCCTTTATACTCGCTTCAGTGACTTCCAAGAGCAAGCCTTCACCCCTGACCACTTCGTTCGTAATGCCGAAGCCCTCATGGTTGGATAGTAAGGTGATGATTCCTAGAGAAAGCCTGACGTCTTAACATAGGATTTTAGTACTAGATTTGTGCTTTAAAGGGCAACACCAAGCTAGGAAGGATAATGGGTGCCATAAGACAAGATGGTGGGACCTAAAAAGGAATAACCTAGACTTGAGACTTGGAAGATGATGCTAACACTATGTGAAACTTAATATCAATTGTATGAGGAGAATCTCAAGGGAAGTCTTTGTAGAGTCAAAAGAAAAAGGACCTAACTCTAAGAAAACTTGGTGGTGGAGGGATGAGGTTCAAGCGATAGTAAAGACGAAAAAAATGTGCTTTAAAAAGTGGTAGAATGATAGAACTAAGGAAAACCTTAAGAACTACAGTTGGGCTAATAAGGAGGTCAAAAAAGTAGTGAGAGATGCTAAGTTGAAAACCTATGATGACCTATACACTAGACTAGATAGTAAGGAGGGAGCGAAGAGAATATACGAACTTGTTAAGATAAAAGAGGTGAAAACAAGAGATTTTAATCAAGTTAAGCGCATCAAGAGTGAAGACTCTAAGGTGTTGGTGAAGAATGAAGAGATTAAGAAGGGGTGGAAGAACTATTTTGAGAAGTTGCTAAATGAAGAACATTGAGGAAGGTCAAAAGGGGAGGGAGTAGCCAGTAATAAGAAAAACCAAGACCACAAGTTCTATCGCATGATTAGGAACTTTGAAGTGGAGATTGCACTTAAGAATATGAAGTCGAATAAGGCTTTAGAACTTGATGATATCCCTATTGAAGCTTGAAAATGTTTGGGTAAGAAGGGAGTTGCTTGGTTGACTAAGTTATTTAGCAAAATTTTGTTGACTAGGAAAATGCCAAAGGAGTGGAGGAAGAATATTTTAGTGCCAATTTATAAGAATAAAGGAGACGTCCAGAATTGCAACAACTATAGAAGAATCAAGCTGATGTGTCATATAATGAAAGTGTGGGAGAGAGTGATGGAAAATTGATTGTGAGATATAACAAAAGTGTCAGAGAAGCAATTTGAATTTATGCCTGGTAGGTCAACATGGAAGTGATCTATCTTTTGAAGAGAGTAATAAAAAGGTTTAGAGAGAAGAAAAGAGACATTCATATGATTTTTATCAATCTTGAGAAAGCATATGATAGAGAGCCTCGGAATATAATCTAGGGGGTGTTAGAGAAGAAAGAGGTGACAAAAGGATACATTGATGTGATTAGAGACATGTATGAAAGTGTGGTGGCCGCTATTAGATCGCCGACTAGAGAGACAAGTGAATTTCCAATTATAGTGGGGTTACACCAAGGATCAACCTTAAGTCTTTAAGTTTTTGCTTTAGTTATGGATGAGGTAACGAGAAATATTTAGAATGGGGTGTCATGGTGTATGCTTTTTGCAAATGATATCGTGTTAGTGGATGAGACTAGAAGTTAACATTAAGTTGGAGACTTTGAGAGAAGTACTTGAATCTAAAGGATTTAGGATAAGCGGAACTAAGACAGGGCACATAGAGTTTAATTTTAGTAATAGTAACAACAGAAATAGAGAAGTGAAAATTGAGAACCGAGAAACATCTAAGAGTGAACATTTTCGTTATTTAAGATTGATTATCATAACGGCTGGGGAGATTGGAGCAGATGTGATCCATAGAATTAACATGAGATGGCTTAAGGGAGGAGTATATCTGGGGTACTGTGCGATAAACGAGTACCCACTAGATTAAAAGGAAAATTCTATAAAGCGGCTATTAGACCAATGATGTTGTATGAAATGAAATGTTGGGCCACTAAGAAACAACATGTAGATAAGATGAGTGCTACTGAGATGAGGACGCTAAGGTGGATGTGTGGCAAGATTAGAAAAAACAGAGTTAGGAATGAATATATTTGTGAATGGATAGGAGTAGCACTGACAGAAGACAAGCTGAAAGATAATAGATTGAGATGGTTTGGTCATATACAATGGAAACCAACAGAGGCAGCAGTGAAGAGATGCAACACAGCGACGGTAGAATGAATTGTTAGGGGAAGGGACAGATCTAGATTGGCGTGCGCTAGTGTAGCAAATAGATATATAAATCTCTTTAATTTGACTAATCAAATAGCCTTTGATAGAGTCAAGTAGAGAAGAAAGATTCATATAGCCAACCCCATTTGATGGGACTTGAGGTTTGGTTTGGTTTGGTTAGTTTTCAGGTTCATTAACCACCACCAATGGCATTAACTTAGAGGTAAGGCAGCATGCAGGAGTCAAATAGGTGGCATAAATGTGGGAGATGACAAGTTCAAAGAAAGGGATGGGGACGCATGCTTTACCGTACTCCAAACTAGAGTTCATAGGTCGATTCTTTATTTACTGCATCTCCTCTAGTAAGTGATTATTGCTTCCTTTTTAGGTCCTGTAGTGGTGGTAGTCTAGGTTTGAAATATCTCTGATAATTTTATCCTATTCCAGTTTTCATTAAGGCAAATGTTACTAAGGTGCTTCGGATTTTGGTTTTAAGGACATGGGAGGCTCACTCAGTATTGGACATATGGTCCTTTAGGGCCTGGTGACTCTGGCCCACTAGAGTCCTTGGAACAAACAGCCACAGTTAGGTGAGGGTGCAGGGGAGCTCGATGCATTTCAAAACTTGACACATGGTGAGGAGCTACCCTCCTCCACAAGGAATGCATACCTTTATAATGACCATTCAAAGCCTGATCAAAGCAACTAAAACACAAGAAAATAAAAATCTTACATCATCATAGACAATTGGGACCACAGCTGGGACCTCAGATGGCATGCCTGCATGTCACTATAGATCGTGGAGCTGATGAATTCATTAGGTTGCTATTTCAAGTATAACAACTTGTCCCAATATACAAAGAGGGAATTATTTGGACAGGTTGTCTCTTTACCAATACATCATCCATTCTCCCTAATTAATCCTGTGTCATCCAACAGAAGCTAATTCATATTGTGATGCTAATAAGAAATTAACACGGATCAGGCAGGCTTCTAGATGCAAGGTCGTCACTTCCTTAAAGCCCGATAGAGAATACCTTCAGTGATGGGCAGAAGGAGTAAGTGCTGCTGCTCATCCTGGTCTGGTATGGTATATATTCATCGATGGAGTAATAAAAACTGGAAGGAATTTGTTCTCTCTTTTCATTTTGAATTTCAGAATTATGATAATTCAAAAACCAGGAGAGTGTGCAGATACTTGATAGATCAAATTGTAAACAAAATCAAATAAGTAAAATAGGCATAACAACTATTAAAGGAAAATCTAGACCAGCCATTTTATGGGTGAAGACACTCCACTTAGCGGCTAGATTTATCTCATCATACTCAATCATAAATTAGGCATAAATACCTGTAGCTTTTGTGCAGATATTCGAGAATCATGACCAATAGAAACTCTCAGACCTCTAGATGCATCAAGCTTCTTCTTGTCCAATAGCCATGCAGCAAAGGCAGCTGCTATTGCTTCGGTAACTGGTTCAGTGAGAGTAACGGGTTCTCCCTCAACACCAGCAATGGCAACACCTCGAATATCACTGTGTGTGTATGTGTGAGAACATTAGCCCATGGAAGCCAATAACAATTATATGCTTAATGAAAGTGCATGTATTTTCTATCCATCATAGATATGTGTATGTATGTATTACATACGATGTTACAACATAGTATAAATATCCATATATAGCATTTCAATCAATGTAGCTCAACTACAAATGACTAAAGCAACACTAAACAGTTAAAAACATGGTTTAAAAAACTGGGTGGTATGTTGCAAACAGGCCAATTCTTATCTGTTTTTAGCCCCTCCAGTTTGGATACACCCCTCTTTTAACGTTAGGATCAAACATCACATGCAAGCTGGCCGGTTCATGACACATACCAGCCTAAACCACAGATTGATCAGGGAACCGGGCACGTTCAAGAAAATATGTAAGTGTTTTATTTTATACTTTTGGGCTTTGGGCCACTATAACTCACAGGGCTGGCCATTCAAGATTGAAGCCCATCCCTTGGCCATTCAAGATTGAAGCCCATCCCTACTCATGTTGCTACATTGCCCATGGTTTGAATTTGTAAAAAAACTAATAAAAGAAACACGTTTTCTTATTAATGTTGGACAATAAGAATTGAAAAGCCCAGCCCACACTTTTCCTTAAAACTCAAGTATTAAAGAGAGAGAAACTGGAGCCTTATAACCAGCACAGATGGGGAAACTCCAGGCGATGTGGGACACATTCCAACACATCTTCCTGGACCACAACATACAGTAGCCGAACAAACAGCACACCAATCACAAGCCCAACCAAGCTTTGATACTAAATTAAAAAGCCCAGCTCACACTTATCCTTAAAACCCAGGTATTGAGGAGAGAGAAACTAGAGCCTTATAACCAGCATAGATGGGGTAACTCCAGGCGATGTGAGACACATTCCAACAATAAACTCACGGTAACAGTAGGCAAATTGTGTACTTATAAAAAGAAGGCAAAAGACAACCAAAACTATATTGAACTAGTGTGGGATACAGGGATAGGCACACTTTGGCCCTTTTGCTATTCTTTGCAATTTCAAATTCAAGTTGTCGATGTGAGGGAAAAATCTATGTCAAACCATGTTATAGAATTAACTAATATTTCGAAATGAGTATTAAAAAAAAGGTGACAAATTAATCAGAGTAAAAAATGCATATCATTGAGTCCTAGAGGGTTTACTAATTATTTTTAAAAAATTCACGACTGCAACACCCAATTCTTCATACATAACATTCGACACTCCCGATACCGACGCATTGCAACAAATACTGCTACGTGTCCCAATACCACAATTTGGAACCATGGTTAAAAATGACCACACAAACAACCTCAGAAATAAACAATAATAGGCTCCATCACGTTCTTTCAAGCTCCAAAGACCGCATAGACAACCAAGTAACTAAATGGCACACAATTGGTTTTGTCAATTTAGCATGCCCTGTCAAATTCTAATGTTGACAATATTGGCTAATAAGGAAGGGCAAAGTACTAAATCAATGAAATTAAAGGAAGCAATATATGAAATTAAGGGAAACAATATCAAGGACTGTGTCCTTCTAACTTACTGTCAACAATCTACGGATTCATTCTAATTGTGTAAGTCAAACAATGCTGACAAATGACCAGGGAGTGAAGAGCCTCCAAACATTATTGGTTCATAAACCGCAGTTCAAAGAAGAGATTCAGTTCAAGGATGTAAAGTAAAGCATGAAATATTTATATGAACATATAAAACCCCAAATACCAAAATGCATGAACACATTAGTAAACTAGGTAACAACATTATGACATTCTAAATCCAATGCTCCTCGTCAGTCAAAGAGGTGGATGCCCAACTAGCCAGAATGAATTGAACTAAATGCGGACCATTAGTGTAATTATTTGTCCGAAAACGCATTTTTGTGTTGGCCAAAATGTAAAAATGAAAACAAGGACAAGAGTAATGTAAAGAACTGGAGCCGAAAGCAGTAAACCACAAAGGAGATAAAAGGAAATTTATATTGAAGATATGCTATAGCAAAACAATTCTCTACCTTCCATTTTGAAGTTTAAGGAAATCAACTTTTTCAAGTGATAGTTCTGCAGTAGTAGATGGAGCAGCTGCAAGAAAAGTTTACCTTCAATTAAAAAATGATAATTGACGAGATCATACCATAGTAAAATAGTAAAATATCTTTCTAGCAACCAAGACTTTCATGTCATAACAAAAAAATCAAAAGTTCTGTTGGAAAAGAAAAGGTTCACGACAACCAAGATTGAACGATCAAATACATTAAGGTTTTTAAGGTTGTCTCCAAAGCTATGATAGTAATTTATAACAACCTGGATAATGAGAGTCTAGAACAGACCGTTGCAGTAAACAGGTCCTCGGTTAAAACAACCAGTCTGATATTTTGAAAAGAAACGCAATTGCATGGTGGAGATGTCAGTCCATGCTAACTTCCCTCCTTGGAAAGGAAGCAAGTTGCGCTTATTAGGGGCCAAACAGTCCCTTTGATATTGGGTGCAGAACTGCCTGTTCCGATGGTAGCACTGTGCTACCAAAACATTTTGGACAATCTTCCCTGACAATGCTGCATAAAAATTTGCAATTTTATCAGATTTCATATTAGTAGGAGCTTATCAAAAGTTGGAATTATTTATGTGAATTGCAATTTTTTGTTCGATTTTCATTCTTGGTCAGGTTAGGTTGGCAAAGACGTTGACGGACTCGAAAGCAAATCTTAATTGCACTTTTGGTTTCAGAGGTGATATTGCAGCTGAGGATTACATTTATTTAAGCCAAACAAATTACTTAATGAATTAAGATCACGCTGCATATTACTTGATGAGTTAAATTTTTTGAATATTCCAGAGACTCCTAACCAAATCCTAACAGCTGATTTTGTCAAGCTAAGTTCAAGATTCGCTTATGCTTAATTCACTTCTTTTTGTTTTTTAAAGTTTTGCGCACAAAGAACTACACCCGGAAACCCCTACAACAGGGAACTATATAAATACAAAATAAAATTGACTAAAGGTGTAAGGAAGGAACAATAGAAAAAGAGAAGACACAACGTTTACATGATTCGGCCATAACCCCATCACCCACAGGAAGTCAATAGTACTATATTACCTAATGCAAATGAATACATAGATAAAAATCATAATTATAGAACCACAGAGATATAGAAAAGGATATTCAGATATTTCTTATCTCTGACATATCCTAAACTGCTAATCTCCAAGGACAATATTGATGTTTTAAATCTTATGTCTAACACTCCCCCTCAATGATGAGCTTAGGTCATTGAGATATAATCATCGTGGCTGCAACCAAATCTTCAAATAAGATCTTGAATCCAAACCATGAAGAAAACAAATGTTTCCAAGTGCACTGTACTCTTTGGGCATATAATGAAAGAAGTTTACAAGAATTGAAAACATAATCCAATACTTATGGTCACAAAACCTACCACCAAAGACCACAACATGCTTCATATCCTAAACAAATAACTCCGCGGCAAAACAACAAAGAAGATTTGAGAAGGTTAGAAGAACAATCAAATGCATGAGATTTGAACGATTTTTATGTTATTTTAGAATAAAAATAGATGAAAAATTCATTGAACATAAGGAAGATAAACAGAAGAGTATTTAGCATGCCCTGTCAAATTCTAATGTTGACAATATTGGCTAATAAGGAAGGGCAAAGTACTAAATCAATGAAATTAAAGGAAGCAATATATGAAATTAAGGGAAACAATATCAAGGACTGTGTCCTTCTAACTTACTGTCAACAATCTACGGATTCATTCTAATTGTGTAAGTCAAACAATGCTGACAAATGACCAGGGAGTGAAGAGCCTCCAAACATTATTGGTTCATAAACCGCAGTTCAAAGAAGAGATTCAGTTCAAGGATGTAAAGTAAAGCATGAAATATTTATATGAACATATAAAACCCCAAACACCAAAATGCATGAACACATTAGTAAACTAGGTAACAACATTATGACATTCTAAATCCAATGCTCCTCGTCAGTCAAAGAGGTGGATGCCCAACTAGCCAGAATGAATTGAACTAAATGCGGACCATTAGTGTATTTATTTGTCCGAATTTTTTTTTTTTTTGTATTTAGAGCTTGTTTGTCGTGACCTACAGTAGCACACTTTTTTACCTTTTGATCTTTTTTGGGTCATATCAGCTCTCTAGTTACAATTTTTTCAAACAAAAATAGATATCAAACTGAGATTTTGTTAAAGTTTTCAAAATTTGCGTAAACATAAAAAATAAAAAACTGTAAATATAAAAATGTGCCAAACGGGCATTCAGTCAGAAGAACAAAAAATCATACTCATCCACTCATGGTACATTACATACTGTCATACTGTTACTTTCAACACTGCCATAGCCATGCCATGAGAAACCCATACATGCTGATAATTTCAACACTGTCATAGCTTTCCCATAAGAAACCCATATTTTTACTTTTTAAGTAGCACAAAATTTGCCACAAATTTAACAGGAAACCTAAGGCTGTTTTTGGTTTAGGTGTGGAATCATAATCCCACCCTCTTATTTCAGTGCTGTGTTTGGATGTAGTTTTCAAAAATTGATTCCACACTCACGTTTGAAAATTATTTTCAGAACATGTTTGGTAGAGTGAGTTTTTAAATTTTGAAATGGGGTCTACCCGATCGTCTACCTAAACATCTGATCTACTCGGTGCCCGGCCGTACAATATTTTATTTATTTTTTTTTTTTTTTTGCAATTGCCACATGTTATTTGAAAAAAAAAAATTATATTTGTTTTGATATGTTTAAAATATAAAAATTATTTTTTTAGACCAAAATGACAAATTATTTGACCATTTATTTAAAATTAACAAAAAAAATAATTAAAATGAAAAATAATTTGTCAAAGTAATTTTTAAAAAATAAAAAAAATTTAAACAAAATAATTAAAAAAAATTCCAATCAAATATACAATCAAAAGTAATTTTAAAACACTAGCTGAATATTTTTTTTAACAAAAACTAATATATACTTTTTAATATTTTAAATAAAAAAATATTTTTGAAATTTTTAAATAAAAAGGGGTTTTTATTGATAAGTCCAATTTAGAAGTGTTTTAACCCAAGAAGTCCATGAAGGAATTTTTTAACTCATTTAGTCCCATGTATGTATAGTTTTATTCCATAAAGTCCATTTTCTTAATTTACACTATTTTCTTGAACACTTATGCCCTTATATTTAATTTTGATACCCTTATAAATATTTTTTCAATGATTAGCAATTTAATGATGTGAACATTTATATTTTAAAATTCACATTTATAGGAATGTAAATTGGCCCGTGGGCGGCTCGAAACCCGCCCGCGAGCTAGGGCGGGCCCGGCCCGTTGACAATGTAAATATTTACATTGACATGTTAAAATTCACATTAATAGGAGTGTAAAATTGGCCCCTGTCCCGTGGCGGCGCGAAACCCGCCCGCTGCCCATGGGCGGCCCGGGGGCGGGCCCAGTCTGGCCCGTTGACAATGTGAATATTCACATTGACATGTTAAAACATTCAGATTGATAAGAGTATAAATTGGCCGCGGCCCATGGGCAGCCAAAAGCTCGCCCGCAGCCGGGCAGGCCCGGCGGCCCGTTAACATGTGAATATTCACATTGACACGTTACATTCACAATTGATAGGAGATAGCCGCGCCTCGGTACCTGCCGAACCCGTCCACGGCTCCATGGGCGGGCCCGCCCGGCCTGTTGACAATGTGAATGTTCACATTGACATGTTAACATTCACATTGATAAGAGTAAAACTAACAGCAGCCCAGGGCGGGGCCGCGACTCGCCCAGCCGGCCCGTTGACAATGTGAATATTCACATTGACATGTTTAACATTCACATTAATAGGAGTGTAAATTGGCCCCCGTCCCGTGGCGGCGCGAAACCCGCCCGCTGCCCATGGGCGGCCCGGACGGGCCCGGTCCGGCCCATTGACAATGTGAAATTCACATTGACATGTTAACATTCACATTTGATAAGAGTATAAAACCGGCCGCGGCCCATGGACGGCCAAAAGACTCCGTTGCTCGGGGCGGGCCCGCCCGGCCCGCTGTTTGACAATGGAATATTCACATTGACATGTTAATATTCACATTGATAAGAGGTAAAATTGGCCCGCAGCCCGTGGGCGGCCCGAAACCCGACGCGCAGCCAAGGCGGGCTTGGCCCGACCGTGCAATGTGAATATCACATTGACATGTTAACATGCACATTGATAGGAGTGTAAAATTAGCCGCGCCTTGTGGCTGTCTGAAACCACGTCCACGGCTCGTGGGTGGCCGGGACTGGCCCAGCCCGACCTGTTGACAATGTTGAATATTCACATTGACATGTTAACATTCACATTAATAGAGTGTACAATTGGCGATGTGACAGTAGCCGGTAGCCCGACTCGTAGGCGGACCCGCCCGTTTGTAATGTGAATATTTACATTAACTATTAACATTCGCATTGATAGGAGTGTAAAATTGGCCGCAGCTCGTGGCCGGCCCGAAACCGATCGCGCCCGAGGCGGGCTTGCCCGACCGTGACAATGTGAATATTCACATTGACATGTTAACATTAAAATTGATAGGAGTGTAAAACTTGTCCGTTGCCGAAACTTGCCCGCAGCCTGGGGTAGGCCCGGACCCAAACCTGGGCCACCCCAAGCCGACGGCTGTGGCCGCCCATGGGCGCGAGTCATTTTTACACTTCTTATCAATGTGAATGTTAACATGTCAATGTGAATATTTACATTGTCAACAGGCGGGCTGGGCCCGCCTCGGGCTGCCCACGGGCCGTGGCGTGTTTTGGCGCCCGGGGTACGGGCTAATGTTACACTCTTATCAATGTGAATGTTAACATGTCAAATGTGAATATTACGTTGTCAACGGGCCGGCGCCCGGCGTCGGCTCGGGGCCAGGCTTCGGGCTGCCCACGGTCACGGCTAATTTTACACTGCTTATCAAGTGTTAATGTTAATATGTCAATGTGAATATTCAATGTCAACGAGCCGGGCCGGCCCGCCCTGGTCAAGGGGGGTTTTGGGCCGCCACGGGCACGGGCCATTTTATACTCCTATCATGTGAATGTAATATGGTCAATGTGAAATATTCACATTGGTCAAACGGGCCCGAACCGGGCCTCGTCCCGGGCCGCCCTGGGACGCGGTCAAATTTTACACTTTTAAATCAATGTGAATGGTGAATATTTCACATTGTCCACAGGCCGGGTCGGGCCGCCCCGAGCCAGGCCCACGGGAGGGCTACGTTTCGGGCAGCACAGAGGGGCGGGCTATTTTATACTCTTTATCAATGTGAATATTACATGTCAAATGTGAATTTTTACATTATCAACAGGTCGGGCCGGGCCAGCCCAGGCAGCCCACGAGTCGCAGGCGGGTTTCGGGCCGGCCACAGCCGCGGGCTTAATTTTTACACTCCTTATCAATGTGAATGTTAACATGTCAATGTGATATTCACATTGTCAACGGGCCGGGCCGGGTTCCACCCCGACCCGGGCCGGGCTTTCTTGGCTGCC